TCTTTTCTCCACACCCATGAGGCAGTACGTATCCTCCTGCGGGCCAATCGCACAGTCTGGAGATCGGTGAAGAGTTCACGTTGAAGGCAAGAGTGTGACTGGGTTTCAGCTGCCATTCCCGAACAGTATTAGTGTGATGTTGATAACATAAGCTGAGCTCTGAATATCCGCTTTTTCTACCTATGGAGGAGTTGTAGATTGTATAACAGCATTGTCTCGCTCGAAGTCTGTTTACGAACCATAGTTTCGAGCATTAAATCCCCCATGAAGCCGAGGAAGTGATTCACGGGTGCGGTCTCAATACCGCGCCGTACACCCCACAGTTATCCGTTCCTTTCAAACACGCGATTTCACTCCAACTGCGGGGCACCTAACAATCTGCGAACCTCCAAACACATCTCGATCGACCACAACCCAATAAACCCACTCTAAAACCAGCACAATGTTCAAAAAAGAGTACACATATTTCACATCCTGATTGCAGACCACAGCTGACCCTGACAGCATATCCGCAGGCTCAAAGTCCAAAGTCAAGTCCTCGGCGCAGCGCGGCATCCGCTCCAAAGTCGTCGATCAGTATCCGCTGCTGGAGCCGTACATGGACGAGATCATGCCCAAGAAGGAGCAGCTTGATCTTGTGAAACTGTACGTCCCCCTCCCCTCTGCCTCTTCCTTTACCTCTCCCCTTCCCGTCCATCGCGAAATCCCAGACCAATAGTTAATTCAACGCCACAGTCCCGACCGCGTCGCCCTCTACACCCTCTCCTCAACACCCCTCTTCTTCCAACACATGGACGACCCTCTCCTCCCGCACCTCTCGCTAATCCACCGGTACCCATCCTGCTTCCCGCGTCTGCGGATCGACCGGGGCGCAATCCGCTTCGTCCTATCGGGCGCCACACTCATGGCGCCAGGCCTAACATCGGCTGGCGGGCGGCTGCCCAACGACCCGCAGGACGGCGACGGCGAGTTCGGCATGGAGGAGCTGGAGCCGGGGACGGTAGTCGTGATTGAGGCGGAGGGGAAAGAGAATGCGTGTATGGTGGGCGTGCTGAAGATGGGGACGGCGGAGATGAAGAAGGTGAAGAAGGGGCAGGCGTGTGAGGCGGGGCATTATCTTGGGGATGGGCTTTGGGGGCTGGATTTGAGATGAGGGGTGTGGGATGGATGGATGGGTGAAGAGGTCACGCTATATCCCATGATGTAGAAGAGAGGAGCGCGGCACAGCTGTTGCATGTGGCCTCCTGCGAACAGACAGGACAGGTTGAGAATTCGGATAGGGCTACAGATAGCCTTCGAGGCATGCGATAAGCCGTACGGGCATTAGGAGAGGAGACAGCTCATACATCTGCAGCTGGATATGCCAGAATCACGAGTGCGCTGCACATGGTCGCATGTCGACTTCCCAGACGTCAATTGGTATCATTTATTGTCTATTCGTGAGACCCGTGTAAAATGAAAAATCCCTAACCAAGGGTAGTTGATCGTCAAACCGTGAAGATAAGTGTCATTACCACCCATGCATATTTTTACTGGCCGCGTCCTCGACCGGCACCACCTTGCCCGCCCATGCCGCTCATGAAGTTCCTTGCCCTGTCACAGTCAGCAAACGTACTCTCAGTATTGGAGGTGGGGTCCTACATTTCCGCGATATTCGGGTCGTTCATCATCTGTGAGAGGTCTGGCATTCCGCCACCACCACCACCTCCTCGTCCAGCTCCAGCACCTGCTCCTCGTCCGCCGCCACCTCCAAGCATCGATTGTAACTGCGGGTTGTTCATCAGACCGCTCAGCATCTCCGGGTTCTGCATGACGTTCTGCGCCATCTGCCGCATCATCGGGTTCTGCATCAGCGATGAGAGATCCGGCATACCTCCGCCGCCTCCACCTCCACCACCACCCAGCATACCCGCCAGACTGCTCAAATCGGGCATGCCACCTCCACCAGCACCCGGCGCGCCTCTGTCTGCCTCCGGCGCGCCCACATCCCCGCCCTCGTCTTCATACTTCCTCTTCGCCGTCTCGTACCCCTTGCGCATAACCTCACTGCCGCCGCCCTCCTCAGCATCCATGCCGGACTTGTACGCCTCCATAGCCCCCTTCGCATCACCGAGTGCGAATTTCGCAAGCCCCAGCCGCGACCACGCCTTGCTATACTTGGGATCCGCCGCAACCGCCAGCTCCGCATCATTCTGCGCCTCCTCGTGCTGTCCACACCCCGAGTACGCCGCCGCGCGATTCGACAGATAGATCGGGTTGAGCGGCACCACGTCCAGCGCCTTGGTATAGTACTCAATCGCAGTATCGTACTCCTTCTTCTTCATCGCCTCATTGCCCAGCCCCTTCAGCTTCTCCGCCTCAGCGCTCTTGCTGCCCTTGCTGGTCTCGGCAGGCGTCTGCGGCGTCGCGGGGCGGGCCTCGTTCGCGGACGAGGGGCCGGCGGTCGAGGCCGTCGATTTGCCTTTGAGCTTCTCGTACACGTTGTAGATGGACAGCAGGTTCTGGCCGCCGAGCGCGTCGGATACGGCGGTCGTGTCGGTCGGGTCCACTTTGAAGGCTTCGGCGATGCAGGTCGAGGCTACTTCGAGCTGCTCGGCGTCTTCGGAGGCGACGCTGCCGTCGGTTTGCGAGGTTTGGAGGAAGTCGAGGATGGCGAGCGCGAGGCGCTTTTTGGATTGGGGGGAGGATGCCTGGGGGTGTTAATCTAGGGAGGATGGGATTGAGGGTGAGTGAGGGAAGCTTACCATTGCGGCAATTGTGTGTGTTGGGAAGTGAAAAAGCAGTAGGTGGAGGGCGCTGTGGGTTTTGGGGGGTATAATGTATGTTGGGAAATCAGAATCCGGGGATGTGTGTGGTGATGTCGTTTGCTGTCGTGAATGGACTCGAAGCTTCTGTGACGAGGCGGCGATCTTCAACTCTGAATGGCGGGGCAGTGAGCTCCAAGCCTCCACCTGGGCAGGTTTAAGCCGCGGAGTCTACACACGTGATGCAAAGCACGACACCCTCGGGCAGCCTAGGTGCATGCGCAACTCTCAATATTAGGTACCTGCTCAGTTGAGTATGAGTATACGGGTCCGTAACTTGGTTTCCATCGATTTTTCTTAGCACTGTTCTGCGCGCACCGCATCAAGTTGGGCTTATCATCTCCATATTGTACAGCTATTGATCCAGGATATCGCTATGCTACAAATCTACTCTTACAATGCCATCCACAATTACATTTCTATGCAACACAAGATTGAAGATAAATGATGCACCATACCCTCAGTCAAGATCGTCTGAAAGCCCCTCCCATGCCTTCTTCTTCTGCTCGCTTTTGGGCCAAAGTGAGGCGAGCCATGACTCGTCCTTCTCACTCGTTAGCCTTTTTGCGCGCTCCTCGTCATCTGCAGTCAGGACGAATTTTCGCATGCGCTCTGCTATCCGCGGGTCCAGGACCATGTCGTCCAGCCAGATCCTCTCTCTCGTATCATCATCTTTGCGCTCCCTGACGGACTTGTGCCATTCAGCCTCTTCGTGTTGAAGGAGCCGTTGCTGTTCCCATTGGGACTCGTCTGAAGCGGTCGAGGAATCTGGTCCTCCGGTGGTGTCGAAAGGCTGGTATGCAGCAAGCACTGCGGCTGCTGTCTGTCGTCCCACGTCCTCTGCTACAGATCTTCGGTTGAGAAAACGGTATATCCGTATAGGGAAGTTGAGAAAGCCAAGAAGATGAGGCTGAGGGACGACGGCGGTCGGACCAAGAGCTGTAGGGCAGTTTGGAGAGACATTGGAGGTGCTGTAATCGAAGGTGGTGTTGAAGGCAGGCGGTTGGGTCTTCTTCTTGGGCTTTTCTTCCTCCTTGGGTTTCTCATCCTTTAGTTGTTCGGGTTCTGGGACTGCGGAAGACGAGGCATCGTCTGTAGGTGAAGTCGATGGGGGTGAGCTGTCCGATGGAGCTGGGACGGCCGCAACTGCGGGTATTATAAGCTCGTCGATGGGTGGTGGTGGGGGAGGATCCATAGGTCCTAGCCAGCCTTCATGCAGACCTCTCACGTACTCCTTCCACGTATGTCTCCCAATCACAATATCTCCAGGTATCCCATCCCATTCCCTGATCCCATTTCTACTCCTCACATCGTCACGCACCATCGCTTCATCCACTTCAAGAGGCTCTCTGCTTTGCTCCCCGTTCTTCATTCTTAACCGCCTTATCCTCTCTGCCAGTCCTGCTCTCACATCGCCCTCTCTCCTTCCCTCGACTGCATCCCAGTCTACAGCGGCCGCGACCAGTATCGGCTTGACAAACTCGCTGAAGTGATCTCGCGCAGGCACCAGACCATCTCCAGGCGGCGCCGAGAGGTAGACGGTAAGCTTTCGGGGGAGTTGCTGCGCGTCCAGCGGCTCGACAGCAATGTGGTCTACAACCTTTGCCCATTTGCGTTGTATCCGTCTCTTCTCGCGGCGATCGTACATGACAGCAGCCGTCCATGATCCGGTTATGGAAAGAAATATCATCCAATTGCGTGAGGGGAGCTTGAGGCGAATGTTAGGGAGGCCTGTAGATGGCTGTTAGCTCGAGGCGTATGCGCTGGGATGAAATGCGCACCCATCATCCGGAAGGCAGGATTTGGAGGCTTCGGGGGCTTCAAGGGCTTCGAGGGCTTCGAGGGCCCTGTTGGCCCAGCCTCGATCGGACCTGGGTCGGCCATGGTTGTGTCGCGGTCTGTCTGGTGTAGGGTGGTGACTTTGTATGCTAAAACTTTTTGGCCAAGGGCGGAACACAGCGGAGATGGTTCGGAGCGGGGCGGACTGCTGCATATCTCTTGGCACTGCCACTTCACAAAATTTCCCGCGTCGGCGAGTTCAGTCGACAACAGTATGACTATGAATCATGTTACGGTCATTGTACTCTTCTAATCTCGTATTATCCTTCCAGAACCTCTATTCAATTGTACTAGGCCCTCCTTTCTACAAGAACACAGCCGATGTATGCCGCCAAAACTTTCATAAAATCAACAAGCGGTGGTGTGGTCTAGTGGTATGACGTCACGTTGTGGAAAACACAGTCCCGTGCCAGCCCCGGTTCGATTCCGGGCACCGCCATCCTTGATTCTTTCTTTTTTCGAGTTTTTTTGCTGGGGGTGGAGCTCTTTTTATGCTTCCAGCCTCGATGGCGCTAGGCTCCAGAAAGAAGCCTTAGTGTTCGGCTAGAGGTCCGTGCCTACTTCCTTCCCAGCACCGCCTGGGCTTCTTCCTTCCTTCCTGTCAGGTCTTCTCTTCATGTCGATAATGACACACGTCGAACACTATTGGCTGCCTTTACGGTTCTCTAACAGGCTTGCATGCGGTTCTTTCGATGTTCTACGCCGGTTGCAGACAATACACACATATCTCCCTACAGTCAGTCAGCCTCGGGGCGCGTTGACCGTACCGTACGTACTCTGGGGCTGTGTGCTTCATTCGGATCGTCAATCAAACGAAATCCGCGCATCCTAGTCTATTGCTGCCTGTTACTACTGGAGACACTTAGGAGACTAGGTTCCTTGCTGTCTGAGCAAGTCAAACGCGAAAATGTATCTTCTTCACACGAAAAGGCTGGAGCTGCAGCAATTTTTCGACGACCAGATCCCTCCATATGCTATACTCTCGCATACATGGGGAAAAGAGGAGCCGCGTCTCCAGGACATGCACAACGACAATATCAAGCGTCTGCACGGGTATAAGAAAATCGAGCATGCAGCCAAACAGGCTGCTCAAGATGGTCTGGAATTTGTGTGGATCGATACCATCTGTATCGACAAGACCAGCAGTGCCGAGCTTTCGGAAGCAATCAATTCAATGTTTCGTTGGTATGCCCAGTCGCGGGTTTGCTACGCCTACCTCGAGGACGTGGAAAGGTCGGCAAACTTCACCGAGAGTCGATGGTTCACCCGTGGCTTCACGCTACAGGAACTTCTCGCACCCAAACAGCTCGTCTTTTACAACAAGCGATGGGACTGGCTTGGGGAAAAGACGACCGAATACCTGGTGCCTAAGATCTGTATGGCCTGCGGGATATTCATAGAAGATCAACACGTTCTTACGGACTTTCAACCAGGGAAGTGGTCTGTTGCGACGCGAATGTCCTGGGCATCTACACGACAAACAACGCGTCGGGAAGATATAGCATACTGCTTGCTTGGTATCTTCAACATCAATATGCCATTGTTGTATGGAGAAGGGGATCGAGCATTCTTCCGTCTGCAAGAGGAGATAATGCGAGTCTCTGACGATCGAAGCCTTTTTGCTTGGGTGGACGAAGATATCGTAGACGATTCTAGAACCAGTCTACTTGCGAGAAGTCCAGCCCAGTTTGCGCATACGAAAAACTTCAAACACGGGGGAGACCTCAGGCCATTCAGAGCCAGAAATCAGGAAGCCAGCATGGTGACAGTCCGCGGGATATCCCTAGAAACAAGCCTCGTACCAGTTGAGGACGATCCGATCACGTACTATGCTTTCATTGGGTACGAATCAAAGTCCGAGCATCCTCTGGGTCGACCAGCGATTGTTGTCAGAAGGATATTTGGCGATACCTTTGTTCGCATATATGCAAATACCCTACCAATACTTCATATGCCGAAGGTCGGACGTGAGTCTCGTCTACAGAAGCTGATGTTCTCGCGGCGTTCTGAGAAACTTCGCCTCCGCCTCAAGTCAGAGTCCGTCACTAAGTCAGACGCAATCATAGTAGACGATGACTTGTTACGGTTTGAAGGGTTCAAAACTCGAAGTGTAAGGATGAGACCATCCCGCCGCCACATATGGCCCGTGCGTCCTCTGAAGTACGGCAAGACCTGGAAATATGTCTACTCGAACCCTACCGATACCTCTAGAACGTTCGAGCTCAGGATAACACCGGCTGGTATCTCGTTGTCCACACCACACGAGGATCAGCCTAGCGAAGGGCTGCACGGAACTCAAATACTCTTCAAAGACATCGAAAACAATTATGAGGCGTTGGCAAACGAACGTTGCTTGCAGACAAACAGTCAGAGACCATCGCTACAACTGAAAGATATTTCTGCAAACGTGGTGGAGCGCAAGGTCCCACGTCCGCTGTATAATCAGGGTATAGATCCAAACAACCTTCAGCCAGGCCAAACCTATACCATAGTATATCGACATCACCGTTTCTATACCATACAACTCCGGACGCGGCCTCCAAGTCTGCTTTCTAAGTCCTTGAAGATGCTTTTATATCTTGTCGTCACGTCCTTGATAACACTTACGCTCGCCGCATTGCCAGCGTATCGAAAGCATTCAACCCGGATGCAACACTCTCCTTTTCCAACGAATCCCTTGCATCGTGTTGTTCACGATTTCTACACTCAGCATGTCACGGGGTCCAATTTCTGGCTCTCTGTAATCTTTTTTTTTGTCTTGCCCTTTGCACTTCAGCCTGTTCTTTTCATTGTTCATCAGACGAATCTGGCCTTGCGCTCATTATGGACTGACTATCAAAATTATTCGTGAGGCTATCCTGTCCTTGTCTACCCCCCATTGAACTTGATATTTCTGGCGGCATGCTTGGAGTTACTATTTGCGTTCTTCTACGAGTACATAGCGCCGGTGGTTGATAACTACAAAAACTTGTCTTGACCATGCTACTCAAGATCAAAGCCATACTATCTATCTATCTATCTATCTATCTATCTATCTATGTCTATGTCTGAAATTCACGCACCCAAAGCTGATATGACAGAATAATATAACACCGAAAGTGAACAGCTAAGGCTGCACTGTTAACGTCGTTCGCATCGAATTTAGGGCTAGTGCCGACTTTGAATAGATAGATAGCACACGCTACACGTCTACTAATCTGAATTGCCACCAATCATCAAACTCTCTCACCGCAGGTATTCACTTTCGTCCCAATCCTTGTAGGTTACTGGCTCCTTCCTGGGGCCAACATTTTTTTTCCGACTGGCGGTTGGTGAAACGATGATCCTTCGCCATAGGCTTGATACGAAGTGCAAACTTGAGCAACAGGTGGTAGAAGAAGAGTGGTATCTTATGCAAACACACACAGCCATACGTATACCAACCCCCAAACTACCCAATATCTTCATCCTCCAATTTGTTCTAGTCAGAACCCAGCTCCTCCAGCTTGGGGACAATATCACCTACGCCATTCGTGAAATCTTTGACGATTAGGACGATCTGTTCATCATCGTCTTCCTCATTTTCTCTATCATTATCATGATCATGATCATCAGCAGCGGTCTCTTCATGATCTACTACACATCCCTCCTCTTCCTCTTCTTCTACGCTTGCTTCAAATGCTGTGGCTCGAGGGGTGTCCTCTGCCGGAGCTCGTCGAGTAGGATTCTTAGATGCAGACTGCCCAGATTGAACGAACTGTGTTGAGCGAGTAGACCGAGTAGACCGGGTAGACCGAGTAGACCGGGTAGACCGAGAAGGTGTAACTGGAACGGTTTTATGGAACGGAGCGTTGTGTGCAGGTGGCGGACGAGCGGTTCCCGTGACCAGAGCGGTACTTCCGACTAGTGTACGTTGAGGGGATGCGCGAGTTTGTGGAGTAGATTTCTTAGTCGTGGACTCCCCGGGTTGGACAGGTTGCACAGGTCGAAATGGCTGCCTGTCAGATCGAGACGGTTCCCCAGCAGATCGAATAGGCCGAGCTGGCAGACGGGATGTTGCATTTCGGGGCGTGCTTGCAACTGACAAAGGCTGGTCGTGCACCTCACCTGGACCATGTGGAAGTGGTTGCTCGAGAGTCTGGACTAGTTTAAAGCCGGGGGGTAGGAGGCGCTCGCGGAGAGCCTGAATGAGTTGGTCGTCGTTCATATCGTCGCCATTTATCTGCATCAGTTCATGTAGCTTAGTCCGCAGATTCTGCGTTGCCTCGGTCGCATCGCTTGATGATACGGGCGGTTCGACAGATGGGGACTGAGCAGGAACATCCTCCAGGATGGATAGAGTAGATGGGCTCTCCGGGGTAGGATGACGAGATGCGTCGTCTACACCAGGTGGACTTAACGCTATAGTTGCTTCGATCTGGGAGGATTCGGAGCAAGACCTCCGTGCGCGGCGGGGTTCCCTGGCGACCGAGGAAGCACTACAGGCTCGTTTGCGAGAGGAACGACGAAGGGATTGACCGGGTGCAGGAGGCTTGGGCACATGATCGCTGCGGACGACGTTGTCAACACGCTGTTCCTTTTGTCCTAGTCGTGAGGCTCCAGGCCATTGGGCGTCCGGCGGCGTCTGGCAGAACGAATTGAAATACTTTAGGTCTGAGCAAGTCACGATCCGCTTTTCTCTAGCGAGTGCCTCCAGGTGCGCTCGACTGTTCTTTTGCCGCGCAAGGTGTGTGGGCAGCCACGCAGGGAACTGTTCGATGAAGTCGTCAATCGTCCGGACTCTGGCGATTGCACAAAGCTGCTCGACGACAGTCTTAGGCAGCGGATGGCGCAAGTAGATGCCATACTTGGCGAGGACTTGCGCAAAATCACGCGGCCATTCCACAAAAACCCTGGCCAGGGCCCGGAACCGCAGGTAGAAACTCTGGTCGTCATCAACGTCATCCAGGCGGAGAGGCAAGGTCGAGCGAAGAACGCTGTCCTCGGGTAATTTGTAGACGTCTACTAGCCCAAGATAGTAAACTAGGAGACAGTAATTATAGTAGCGGTCACGTTCTGGGGTATGGGCATTCTTTTCCTCGGTCGAATAGCTATCCCAGAGCGAGTTCCACTCTGCAGCCTTCGTTTCACACCTGGAGAGAACCGAGGCTTTCCAGAGAGGGGTAATTTCTGGCAATGCCACCGTGGCAACTCGTAAAAGAGTCTCGTGCTCCGATCCCCAGACCAGGGCCATGCGAGATTGTGCGATGGAAGACTCCCAATGTTTTCTATGGTAGCGCGACGCGATTGTGGTCTGTTACTGAGCAAGGCGCGTGAAGATCGTTGGTGCCAAGTCGGGGTTTCTGCGGCGAATCTTTAAAGCCCTATGAGTGGCGCACGGACCGTGGCGCTAAATAAGGTCACATGACCCAATACACAACCTCAGCACTGAGTGCTCATAGGAGCCAGCGCGGTCCGTCC